GAAGACGGACAGACAGAGAGAGAAGAGGAGGAGAGAAGAGACAGAGAGAGTACAGACAGAGAGGACGACGAGAGAGAAGAGAGAGAGCGACGAGGACGGGGCAACAGAGTCTCTCTCTCTCTCTCTTGTCTGTCTCTCTGTCTGTCTGTCTCTCTCTCTCTCTCTGTCTGTCTCTCTGTCCGCAGACAGGTAGGGGGCGTAGAGAGGCCGCTACAGATCAGTATGAGCTCAGTGCGCCGGCAGGAGGAAGCTGATGGTGGCGGATCACAGATGTAGTGCAGGTCGCTGAGACTCCGTCTGTCACTTTTAAAACAGCTCGTTTGTGTCCGACATCACCGCGGAATGGGAAAGAGCGGACTGCACAGTTACGACGCATGAATGTGTCTTGTAATGCGGCTGAGAGGAGCTTCCTTTCGGGGGGAGACATTAATGTTTCGGGACGGTTTTGTTGGAGTAGCTAGTTGCTAGCGCTGGGGCTAGCGACTGTGCTGGTTACTTGGACGTATTTCTGCAAGGATGCTACGGTGGATCCGACAGCAGCTGGTAAAAACACTGCTCTTCTACCTCCCCCAGAAACGCCAGCTCTGCTTATTCTATTAAATGCAAAGGCCAAGCTGTGTTAACTTTATGTTTGGTAACGTTTAGCCAGCTAACAGGGCTGTCGCCGTGTGTGTGTGTGTGTGTGTGTGTGTGTTTTGACATTGTTGACTGTCTCTGATGACAGAAAGGTGTAATGTTTGGTTAGCTGCCTTTTTAGCTTAGCTCCTGGTTAATTAGCCGACGAAATAAAAGGTGACTAAGGTAGTCGAGGTCTGAACAGCAGTCGGACTGGTGTTGTTTATATTTGAGATGTGAGTTTATTTGAAGTTTCACCACACAGCTGGTTTGTTTTCCACTTGGTGAAATATAACTTGAGACTAAGTTAACGCTGGCTAGCTGGCTAATGTCAAAACTCCTCTTCTCCTAATGTTAACTCCTCTAGTTTACTGTGACTTTAATATTAATAATAATAATACATTTTATTTCTAAGCGCTTTTCTGGATACTCAAAAACACTTTGCATAAGATTGTAAAACACTAAAAACACTCAGCTAAACATTAAAAGCCAAAAACCAAACTAACTTTAACAACTAGTTGGATATTAGTTTCAACCCTCGAGCAATAATAATAATACAAATAAAATGAGCATCTCTTGATTTAAGTTACCTTAAACAGTTTAAATGGTGTTGTTAGTGTTACATATGTTAAAATGCCATGCTAACAGAGAGAGAGCATCCTGTATTTCCTGTAATCACCTGTTGTTTGCCTACAAACATGGCTGTGTGTTAAAGACAATACCGGTCCTTGTCAAGCAAATGAGTCCAGTCTGATTCTGATTTCAGGAGGAATAAATGATCTGTGTAGGAGTTAAATCCTCTGCGTTAAAGTTCATTGTCTGGATAAGATCTTGCATGAGAATAAATGAGTGTGGTTTGGCTTGAAGGGTGTGTGTGTGTGTGTGTGTGTGTGTGTATCTTGTGAGATTAGCCACACATTGGCCAAATTGGTTGATGTCACCACAGCCTGTGTGAGTTTATTCAGCGTCACTGCGTCCTGCCTGTACTTTGGGTTGTGTTGACTCTTGCTCAGCTGTAGGTTTGTCAGTCAGGCACAAAACGAAGTTCTCTTTCTGCTCTCAGAGGTTTAGCTTTGAGGCCTGCGCGTTTGTAAAGAGCACCAGAGAGAGTTTGACTCTCAGATAGCGCTGTTCATTTGACCCTAACCCCATATAGAAACTGACCTGCCCAGTTAATTAAAAGTAATTAAAATGCATCTTAATACAGCTGGCCTAATGAAAAAAAGTTTGTCGGGTGCATTTGTCTGACCTCGATATCATCTGGGAGGTAATGCAGTTGTGTTTAGTCGCTCACATATTGACACTGGTCCACACTGAGAAGGAAAAAAAGGGAGATTAGAAGATGGGAGAGTCCTCAAAGTGTGGTGGGTGCTGAAATCATGCTAGTAATGTTGCACTTAGATCGTAAAAGATCAACTGTAATTACAATAAGCAACAGTATGACGCGGAAACATTCGGTACACTTCAGTTTCACCTGTGAGGAGTCACAGTGTGTATTATTGCTGACTGTTTGCTTTTCATATTGATTTCCGATCTCCCAGGCAGCACTCGGTCCACGCTCACACGGTATAAAACATCTGGCGTGTGTTCAGCAGCCGGTGTAATGTAAGAATCTAAAGCATTCAGGTCGTCCCTCCTCTTAACTGTACTCATGTATTATCACTGCTTGTGTTTTGAGCCTTATTTCCCAGAGGCGTGCGTTTGTGCAGCGAGGCCTTGGTATGGCTGATGTAGGATTTTGGAGATTGCTTTACTGCACTAAGAGACTTTAGCTGTGCGATGTAAAGAAGCTGGACATTGAGCTGATTGTGTGGATGAATGGTATTGTATTGTGCGTCTTAGCTGGCTGAGCTAACAGGACGTCCTTCGCTTTTACGGTCTCGCTCTCAGCCGTTGCTGCAGCGACCCTCATAATCCACTCGAGCGGACAAAACACTGGATCGTTAACTATCTTTGCTCTTTGATAAACTTCTTAAAGTTCCTTTTCATTTCACGTCACATGTTGTTGGATATCTTATTGGCATCACGCCTGCAGTCGTCACCTACCGCATCTGACTACAGTCTCTCTCTCTCTCTCTGTCCCTCTTTGTGTTGCAGTCGTTCTGTCTTTACTGCTTGCTCTTTATTCGACTCCCCCTCTCTCCCCCTCTCCCTCTCTGATTAGTTCATCCCGTCGTATTAAATGTCTCGTACACTATGATACGACTCGGTGCGCTGCTTTGGTTGATGCATTATCCTGCCGCCCAGCCATTGTTCAGGACAACGATCCCCCCAAGGTACTGTGGGACTTGTAGGCCTTAAAAAGTGATGGGGGGATGAGAGTTAGGGGACAAAATAAAAAGTCTGATTACAGCTGTTTGCAAGAAATCCACATTGAAGTCCTTGCTATACTACTGATACACTGTCGCGTATTTCTTCCAGGTTACGGCCAGTGTGGACACTTTCACTTCAACAGGCAACAAAATGTGCAATATATTCCTCCTGATAGTCAACATCAGCCTCTTTGCACAATCGTAACGGGCTGAAAGCTTTGAAATCCCTCTTTAACTCATCTGCTACTGGTTATCTTGTCACTGGTATAAATTATAATCGGGGAGATAAAAAATGGAAAATGGCTCTTACTTGGATTCACCTCGTTGGTGTACTTAATGAAACGGTTAGTGCCCCTAATATGTGCCAGTCATACCTATCCTTCAGCCAAATGTGACATCAGCTCTGTGCGGGTTTCAGACATTTCTACTCACTCTGCTATTTCCAACTTGAGGCAGTCCCAAATAACAAACTCTGGCTCTAGTCATAAGGTTAGGTCTATGGCTCGTCATTACTGCTGCTTCTCAATTATGTCAGGTTGTTCAATAACGTTTAAATGTTTAAAAAAAAACACCTACATGTGTTTTTATCAAGACAAGCAAATATTAAGTCCAGTGCATATTATATGTTTTAATATTGGGACTGGTTAAGGCTGCCAAACGATCTCAAAACTAATAAAATCGGGGGGAAACGTTTTTTTTTTTTCATTTTCTGTTGTGCAACGTTGTTTACAGTCTG